CCCCCCCCCCCCCCGGAATTTCATCGGCATTTTCCACCGTCATCATTCAAGCAAAAGAAGACTCGGCAATTCACAGTGCAACTCCACTATCACGCAGACAAACAACCACAACCGCTCATACAAACGCCATGGCGTTGGCATCATCATCGTCATCGTCCACCGAAAAACAATGAACCATGAAGTCACAACAAACCAACCTACGGACCGTTCGTCAAAAGCACTCCACGACGAAGGGGATGCCGCAACCTCGCGCCGACACGCTATCGTGGCCTGCCTTCGCCAGAAATCAAGCTCATGGAGGAAATAGAACAGGTAGGGGGTACGCAGACTGTATTCCCTAACCCTCACCCTGACCCAACTTCCTCGATTGCATTCTTCATCCAACATGTTTACTTAATACAATCACCCTGCGAGGGCGCTGAAAAGTGTTCGAACCGCACCGATGACATACCCCCACTCAGGTTGTGTGAACCTGAACGTCCTGGCCTGAACGGGGGCGTGTCGTGGGTGCGGCTTAAACATTTGTCAGTGACCGACGCCCTCCGACTCTGGCGCTCGAGGACAGCCAGTTCGTAGGGAGAGGAGGTGCATCAAAGGCGAAACGTTCAAGGGACGAGAGCTTCGCACACGCGGGAGAGTGATGCCAGGAAACGGATCGACCATCCAATCATTATAGCGTTTCGGAACTTGTTTATTGGAGCTGAAATCAAACCATTCGACTAGTCAGCGGCTGATTAGTTTAGTGGATGAGTACCATGATATGTTAATACCCACTGTCCATCTCCATCCTATGACCCTAACCCATAGCCCATCTCCGTCCCTGGAAAGGGACAAACTCCCTAGGTCTTGCTCTTATGTCTTCCCTCCTCCCTTGTTCTACATGTCTCAAAATTAACTAGAACGCAATCGATTTGTAAAGCGAGCTTTCAGCTTCTAAAGGCATTCGACTAGTCAACGGCTGACCAATCTAGTCTGATGGTTTGATTTCGGCTTCTAAAGGCCTTCGACTAGTCAGTTGCTGACAAGTCTAGTCCATGGGTTGATTTCGGCTTCGAAAGGTCTCATCATCTAATCACAGGAACTCTACTCACGTCGGGTGCTGCAGGGACTTGAGCAGAAGCGGTACAACTACGGTAGGAACATGCGGCGTAACCTCTTCGGGGAGATTGATGGCGATCGTCTCCAGCAGCGGAACCACTTCTTCCATGTGATCCTGCGACAAAACAAAATAAATAAACAACGTAGGGAAATCAAAATACATGCATTTGACGTTCGAGGCGCGCGGCCGAATTTCCCCAGCAGAAACGTGCACCCAACTGCTGTAGGACATACTCATCATCGCACGTTTTTTCAGCGAGCGGAAGCCAGTATCCTTGCGTTTGAGCAGCGAGCGGATGTCTGTCATACCGTACTTCACATTGCGTCCCCAAAACCGAAAGAGAGAAAATACCCTGAAAACAAAACATAACACACCGTTTGTGTGTGTTCATATTTCACCTCGTTGTAAGTGTGCAACCAGCTGCTGTAGTAGATTAGTTCACATGTGCATCCACTGTGCATAGATTGGCAGGGTCGTGCAACTATTGTTCATGCGGTGACGGTGGCGTGGTGTCTTCACATTAAAAACCGTTCCGGTCTCTGCTCAATACACAGTCATTTACCTCCCTTGTATGCATACATGAAGAGTATTTTTACACTTTTCGGTTTCGGGGACGTCATTTATCATACAACCAAAAACAGACGTCGACAGGTGTAAATAGGGGGGGAAGACAAGATTAGACTGGACGAAACATATCTGCTGCGCGATGGAAGTCGTCCGGAAATTTCCCGCGGTCAAAAGCAGCTTGTGGGGGGGGGG